CCAGAGCTCTGGGAGACTGAAGTAGGGGGGCTGCAAGTCCAAGCCTAGTCTGGGCAGTTTAGTGAGACCTAGTCTCAAAATATAACTTATTTTATTTTATTTTATTTTATTATTATTGTCTTTTTCCTTTTTATCGGTACCAGGGATCGAACTCACGACTGCCTGCTTGCAAGGCAGGCACTTACGCTGCTGAGCTAAATCCCTAGCCCTTCAAAATAAAACTTTAAAAAAATAATAAGAGGGCTGTGGTTATAGCTCCATGAGCAGGGTCTGAGTTCAACATAATACACCATGCTTAAAAAAAAGGGGGAAGTTTTAGATTTTGGAGCACTTCAGATATTTTATTTTCAGTTTAGGGTTACTCAATTGATAAAGTCTACACAAACATTCCAAAATCCTAAGAACCATAAAATAGAAAACACTTCTGGTCCCAAGCATTTAAATAAGGGCTATCAACCTACAGTTGGTCTCAGGAAACACAAGATATTTTCATAGTCTCAAAGTACATACACACAGGTTGCTAGTTACAAAGTACGGAAAACCAAATCTAGCTAGCAGATTTGAAGAATTATTCCAAAACCAATTAGGTGACAAACCAACATGGAGCACCTCCTGATCGGACACGATAGCAGCACCGTGGAGCCAAGCCTCCTCCTGAAATAGCACAACCTGAACCTGCTCGTGAGGGAGCACTGGACAGAGGTCATTACACAGAATCGGTGGTCTGCCTCTGCAAAAATGTCAAGGTCTTGGGAGACAAAGAAAGACTGAGCAGTGCTAGATGAAAGGAGACCAAGGCGACATGGCAACTAACACAATGGGTAATATTGGTTGAATCCTAGATCAGAAAACTCTGATTTCTCCATAAAAGACACTATGGGGGAATTGGAGACATTTTAATAAGGTCTATACATCAGACAGTAGAACTTGAAGCCATTCTAATTCTGATTTTGATGAATATACGGTAGTTACTATATAACAGAATGTCATTTTTTGTTGTTTTTTGTGGCCCTGCGGATGAAACCCAGGGCTTCATGCATGCTAGGCACGTGCATTACTATATCCCAAGCTAAAGAATAGCATTGTTTTTGAGAAATCTACAGAGATTACTTAGGGGTAAAGGGGTATATTTGTCACCTACTCTCAAATAGTTGAAGAAAAAAAAACTTAAAGTATATACTCACCTTGACACATATAGAGATGTTGATTTAAAAGATTGTGGGCCAGGCATATAGCTCAGTGGCACATTGCCTGCCTGTTAAGCACGAGGTCCTGAATTCAATTCCCGGTACCAAAAAATAAAAAATAAACAAAAGATAGATAAAATTGTGGTATGCCATTTTAGCTTTAGCCACCAACTCTCCAGGGAAAATGTCCTGATACCAATGTCTGTGGTGTAAATACTCTCATCCGCAGCTAATTTCAAGTGAACACCATGTATTTTCTGAAGAGGTGGTTAGGAAGAAATGCAGGCAGATAGCTCTAGGATCCAGCACACCAGTACAAATGCAGGCATGGTCAAAAGTTAACATTTAGGAAAACTTGAGTGAAGGGAATGTGGAGATTCTCTGCAGTTTTTTGGGAGAAGGTTGGAACTTTTTATGTAGTTTGGAATTATTTCAAATTCAAAGTTTTGCATAACAGGCATGCACTGTGTTGCATACCAACATCCTGTTCCTCCTCTGAAACATTAACCCAGGCTCAAATTTCAATTTTTTTTTTTTTTTTTTTTTTTTTGTACCAAGAATCGAACTCACATCAGGCAGGCACTTACAGCAGTGAACTAAATCCCCGGCCCCCAAGTTTCAATGTAAGTGTACATCTTACAACCAATGCGCTATAGCAACAGCTATCCAAGAGAGGATGAATATTTCAGGTAGAGGCACCTGTCTTGTGTGTACTTTGGGATGGAAGAAGAGCAGGTCATTTGAGAAACAACAAGAAAGTGTATGGCAGGGACACACAAGTGCAAAGTGAGCTGAAAGGTGGCAGAGAACACGGGAGGCTGAAGCCACCAAAGCTTCTGAAGCCATGATGGGGGCATGAGGCCTTCTTTGTGGCCTTCAGCAAAAAGGAGCCATTAATCCTGCCTTGTCCGGTTGGCTCTTCGGTCACTTTACCCAAGGCCCTTTTGCTTGGTTGGATTGCCAGTGACTGGAGATGACAGAGGCAGCCCCCTGTCAGCTGCCAGGTGACTCCAGATAACCCAGGCCCGGTGCCACCTTCACCCTCTTCCCTACTTGGACCCATTTGCATTTGCCCACTCCTTCCTCCTGCTGTCTTGGGTTCTGGTCACACTTCTCACTTTGGGAGTCCAGAACCTGACGGGGCTAGAGAGGATGGGGCTCTCCAGGAGTACAGCCTGAGTGGCTGTAGGCTTCCTTTCTACCAGATGAATCATAGCTCTGTGTCTGTGGCTGGCGGGTCCTCCTTTGACGTGCCCGGGGTTCTGAAGAACAGGAGTAGACTGGATCTGTATACACAACGCGTCACCCAGGTCCTCCTCTGCGACATCATGAGCCCAATCCCAAGTGACTGTGCTAGCTGTGTGCCGCATGTTTTCTAGCTGTCATCAGGCATTCCCTAGCTCATCTTAGCAGCACTACGTGTGGGCACACGATTATGTCTATTTGCAGGAGAGCAAACTGAGGCTTAAAAGATTTCCTGGAGTAGCCAACTTTGCACAGCTGACCCAAGGATTCATCCAAGACCTTTGTTTGTTTATCTCGGTGTGTTTGTTTGTTTTGAGACAGGGTCTCACTGTGTATCCCAGTTCAGACTCATGGCGATTGTCCTAACCTCAGCCTCCTGGGATTATAGGTGTGGACCACCAAGCCCAGCTTCAACCCTGACCTTTGACCTCCACAGCCTGAGCTGCTTCTCACCATGCGACTCTGCTTCTCTCAGATGACCTCTCGGCCACTGTCTCTTGGATCTCTGGGTGCTCAGAGGGTTGAGGCTCAGGCCACGGTGTGGACAGACATTCTGAGGGCCCTGCTGTGCAGGAAGGGGTTAATTGAGATGCCCTCAGCCAAGCTCTGGTTTGGCAGGAGGCCGGTTGCTGTAGCAACAGCAAGGTTTGGGGACAGGGAAGCCAGCGCAGCAGGATCTTCTGAATCAGTGGATAGATGCACAGCCCATATGTTTATTCTGTGGTGAAAGCCTCCTAGCTTCTGGGGCTGCACACGGCCTTCAGGAGTAGCTATGCTGCTCAGGGGTGTGGGCAGCGTTTCCTGAATGGGCCGAGGCCAGGAGGCCTTCGCTCTGCCTCTTACCCAAGGGCCCCCACAAGCTCCGTTCAGGAACCTTTTCTACCAGGAAGGCCCAGGGCTCTTGTTTTCAGCCGGCAGTAACCCAGACTGGGCAAAAACCAGGAGAGTGGAGATCTGAGGCCAAAACCAATCAATCCATCATCATTGCCTCACCAGAGAGGCATTGCTTACTGACAGCACAGTCACTGGGCCAGATGCTGCGATCTCGGTTACAGCTGGGAGCCAGACAGGCTCTGCACTCATGGTGCTTTACTGCTAGGGAGCTCGGAAGTCCCTACGGTGTTCCTGCCTTGGGCAAATCCCTTTGCCTTTCAGAGTGTTTCTGTAAGATGGGGTCAAAAATGTCCATACCTCCCAAGGATGCTGTACGGATGAGATGACATGTTTGAAGCATTTACCTGACACCCAGTAGGACTAACTATGTAGCTGTGACATCAATGCTGATAGCCCCCAGGACCAGTGGCACTCCTGTTCCACACCTGGGCTACTCCAAGATCAGAAGAGCCCAGGGCCACCAGAAGACAAGACTTAGTGTTAGTCAGTCACTCCAGCCAACTTGTGTTTTACTTACAACATGGTATTTATTTCACTCAAGTCTTATGTTGCAAACTGAATTACACTTGCTAAGGCCCTTTCCCAAAAGCCAGGGAAGGCTATGTCCTTCAAACTCCCTTTCATCTGATCTCTGATCAAGCGGTTCCCTGTAGTAGGAAACAAGCCCACCACACTTGGTGAGAAAGAACTTGACTCTGACCCTGTTTTCATGGAAAGGTCCTGTTGGTCCTCAGGGTTAGCCTTGGGACACCCTTCGAGAGCCCCAACACAGGGCAGGAAGCCAGGTTGGCGGTGAAAGCTGGGTACAGAGAAAAGCTGGGTGCAGACCAAACTCATACAAAGATCATCAGCAAAGAAGGAGAAAATCATCTCAGAATTTTATATTGGATATTTGAGAAAATAAAATACTTCAAAGTGATCACTCATGGAATAATTCAAAGCACTGAAGGACTTCTTCACCCTCCTGGCTTAGTATTGATTTTCTTTTGCATCACTGGTGGGGCTGGAGATACCCAATCTATTTAGAGCTTAATGCCTCTAAAAGTCTTAATCAAGGCCTGGGAGATGGAAGAGGGGTGCACAGTCGGCGGGCGCCCCTCAAGTCTGTTCTACATGACAGCTTTGCTCCTAGAGTGTGTGTGGGGAGGGAGGGAGATGTTTTTCCTTGGCTTCTGTCTAACTCCAAAGGAGGCCAGATTAAGCCTGGTCGGAGGTAGTGTTAATGAGTTATCCAGGATTTTCTTTTCTCTCCAATCTTGAATTTCTTTTTCCTCTGTTGGGTATCAGGGTACATATTTATACCAAGACAGGGTTGCAGAACAGATTGTAGCTGTTGTTTGCTTGTGAGATTCTTTCCAGAAGACCAGGGGCTGGCAGGAAGCTGAGCTGGGTGGAGGGGTTACAAGTTTGGAAAAGGAACCACAGAGACCCTGAAGCTTCCAGCCAGGCTGGCCCCTAAACTGGAAAATCTTTAACAAAGTATCCAGCAAACCAAGAAGAAAAGACAGGCAGGCAGACAGGCCAGTGAACACATGCCCCTGCTGGGAAACCAGACCCCCTGGGCTGCACAGGGGAAGAAGGAGGGTGGGGAAAGAGGGCCAGAGAACCTAGGCAGAATACCCAAAGCCCCCTCCCTCCCCTCCCCTGCCCTCCCCTCCCCACCCCTCTCTCCCCTTCCCTTCTCCTTTTTACTTTTTTTCTAAGTGAATTTCAAGCAGTTTAGGTTCACAGCAAAATGGCACAGAAGGTACAGAGATTTCCCACACCACACCACACCTCCATCCCCACACAACCTCCCATCCCAAAGTGGCACCTGTACTACAATCAGTAGACTTACACGGATACATTGTAAGCACTCAAAGTTCACAGTGTAAGTGAGGATTGAGGATTAGCTCTTAGTATTGTCTGTTCTGCATTTGGACAAATGCATAATGACAAATATCCACCACTATAGTATCCTCAGAATTGTTTCATTTCCCTAAAAATCCTCGGTGTGTCCAGCAACCAGGGATTATGTTATGGTTTTCATAGTTTTACCTTTTTCAGAATATTATATAGTCGAAATTATACATATGGAACCTTTTCATTTGACTTCTTCCACTTCCTACTATGCATTTAAGTTTCCTGCATGTCTTTCCATAACTTGATAGCTCATTTCTTTTTGGCACTGGGTAATATTCCATTGCTGCTGTATATAGCACAGCTTATTTGTCCATTCACTTACTGAGAACGTTTTGATTGCTCCCCAGTTATGTCAATTATGAATAAAGCTGCTATAAACATCTATGTACAAGTTTTTGCAGGGACTTAAGTTTTCAGTTTGGGCAAATACTAAGGAGAGCATTTTAGTTGTGGAAGACCACCAAACTGTCTCTGAGAGAGGCTGTACCATCTGCATTCCCACCAGCAATGAATGAGCATTTCTGTTGCTCCACATCCTCATCAACATTTGGTGTTGTCAGGGCTCTGCTCTCAGCCATTCTCATAGATGTGTGGTTGGATTTCAATACTGTTGTTGTTTGGCAGGATTGGGTTTAATTGTTTAGTGTTAGGGTCTCACACAGGCCGAACAAGTGCTCCAGCTTCCATTGCCATTGTTACTATTTTATGGCATTGAGAACAGGATCCAGAACTTTGCTCGTAGTAGGCAAATTCCCTAGCACTGACCTAGGACTTCCCAGTCCTTCAATGATATTTTGTTTTTGTTGTTGTTGTTGGTATCAAGAATCAAACCCAGAATGCCAAACAGGTGTGCTTGCCAAACAGGTGCTGTGCTCAGTGCTGTTTAATTTGCAATCCCATGGTGACATGATGTTGAACATCTTTTCAGATACTTGCTATCTACAAGAATATATCTCCTTTGGTGGTTTGTCTGTTTGGGTCTTTTGCTCATTATTTAATCTGGTTGGTCATTTTTTTTCCTTTTTTGTTTTATTGTTGTTGTTGTTTGTTTGCTTGCTTGTTTGAGACATGGTCTCACTATATAGTTCAGGCTGGCCTTGAACTCACTCTGTGGCCCACGCTGGCCTCGAACTTGCAGTGATCCTCCTGCCTAAGCTGCCTGAGTGCTGAGATTACAGGGGTATGCCACTATGCCCAGCTTTCATTTTCTTGCTGAATTTTAAGAGTTCTTTGCATATTTGGAATAATGATTTGTTTTTTGTTTTAATCAGATGTGTCTTTTTACAAATCTTTTCGCTCAGTGTGTGGCTTGTCTGTTCAGTCTCTTGAACTCAGCCTTTGAGATGATAATTGTAATCTTTAACCAAGCCAGGATGTGGCAGAGTCCAGCCACTTCCATTTGACTCAAGACTTTAGTATGTTTTTTCAGGACTTTTTTTCATGGTCAGTCTTTACTTGTGATACCCTACAGACTGGCAAAGACCTTGTGTGATGTTTACCATGGTCTACTGGTTCACCCACTCAACCAGGACTCCTTGATATTCTTTTCCCTGCCAAACCCCATTCAAACCTAACTGTTTGGCATCTGCTTCTGACCAGCTGATCCAGCGCTTGGGGAGCCGGGTTGCAGGAACGGCTTGGAGTTGGGCTGAGGAGACCCCACTGAGAAAGTCATCACACTTGGAGTCAAAACAACACATGGCAGCAAAGAGGATCAAGAGAAAGGATGTGGCTTGAAGGCTGTTGGCTATCTGGCTGAGACAGGGTGTGTCCAAGAAGGGAGACAGTGAGGCCACAAAGTCTGAAAGATTGGAGTGGGGCCACATGCTGTAGGTCATAGTCACAAGCTATTACTCTGAATGCAATGGGAAGCTACAGAGGATTTCTAGCCTAGGAGTGACATGATGTGATTTGCATTTCTAAAAGCTCACATTGGTTACTGGAGGGAGAATGGATTAAAAAGAAGCAAGAGGAGAGGCACTAGGACCTATTCAATGCTTTACTGCTTCAATGACTATAAAAGTTTTTTTTGGCATTGGGAATTGAACTCCGGACCTCACATTTGCCAGGCAGGCACTGTGCCACTGAGCTATATCCCCAGCCTAATGCATATAAATATTCACAAAGCTGGAGCTGCAGAGTTGGATGCACATCGGCATTACACATTACACACACACTCACACTCACACCCGTGCTTCTCATACCCTCTGCACACTTAAACACCTCCACACCTTCCTGCACATCTGTGATCCTCAGGCAGCCACAAAGGTCTCAAGCACATTTGCTCCTGCACACTGCACAGCGGAGCTGTTTCCATGCACACGTAAGGACCCACACTCCCTTTCACAGACTCCTCACATGCACGTGAGATGATTTCATGCACGCACACAGAGCTACACACAAACACACAGAGCCATGCTTCTCCAGAGACATTATTTGCCTGTTCCCAAGCAGATCTGAGCAAGAGATCAGCTGGGACAAATAGGGCAGGAGGTAGTTGCAAGCCTACTTAGTCACGGGAGAAAGAAAATTCCACAAAGTCTGTTTTACCATCAATTGCACCTGAAGCTTGGACAGCCCGCTCCCAGGGAGGCTGCACTGAAGCCTTCATTCGGCTGGTTGGTTAGGGCTGGGGCTCTGCAGTCTTCCTCCTTCAGCCTCTGCTGCCTACCTACCACTAGCACCTGCAACTCAGTCCTCCTAGGACGCCAGGCCAGGGGGTGGGGTGCAGAGGGTGTAGGGCAACTGCCTGGAGCCCACGCAGCTCAAGGAGGGCCCCATGGGAAAGGTTCCTTCAGGACCTCACTTGCTGCAGCAGGCAGAGAATGGGCTGGGAATAGGCTCAAAAAACTTCAAGCCCTCAAAAAGGCCTTTGCAAGGCCCTGTAGGATCTCAACTGCTCTGCCCCAATCAGCTCCCCTTGTGACCCCACCCTCCAGCTCTGAGCTCTAATCACAGTGACCCGCAGGGCACTAGCAGCTATCTAAACATTGCTTCAGATCTGTGCATATGCCAATCTCGCCACCTACTTGAGGAAGTCTTCCAAGATGGTCCCACTGTGCCACCCTAATGCAAAGGCTCCCCTGTAGTCACTTCATTGCACTGCTCAGGCTCGCTGGGCTCTGTGTGTCTGCCACCCTTTGGTGCAGCAGGCAGGGCACACCCTGCAGCTGGGCACATAGCAAATGCTCAATAGAAGTGAATGCTGCTGTTCTGGGCAAGTGAATATAGAAAGATAACTTTCGGGCAGGATCCCTTGTTCTCTCTCATTTTCGTTGTCATCCCAGGAACCAGCTGGAGATCACCAAGCTTGCATCACCCTTCACAGTATGCCTGTGACATGATTTTTTTTTCTACCTCTTGTACTTCAACCAGCTGAAGAATGTCAGAACCCCTAGCCGGGATGGTAGGAATGGTGGAGATGGAGGTTGGGGTAACGTGGAATGGAGAAGTTCAGGTTAGTGTGTATACTTCCCTAGCACTGACTCTGGTGAGAGGGCAATGAAGCAGAGTGTGAGTGTGTGTGTGTGTGTGTGTGTGTGTGTGTGTGTGTTGTACATGTGTTGCATGTGTCCATGTTGCATGTGGGAAGCATGAGGCTGGCTTTTTAGGGGTTGAAAGAGCCAGAGAAAGCCCTGGAAGAGCAAGGAGACCTTAAATATCCTTGCCAGGGCTGCAGTAGCTTGCAGATTAAAGGCAAGGGCTGGCCGGACATTTGCATTGCTGAGAGGACTGGGTTGACCCAATGACTCAGGACCCAGACAGTGCTGGTGGCAATGGATGCTAGATAAACAGAAGCCTGGCCCTTGTGACTCCTGCAGAATCTGACTTCCCTTCTCCTGAGGCAAAGAATATGCAAACCGATGGCTATGGTTTCCTAGGCCACATCAGGACAGGTGTCACCACCATGTCAGAAGTGCACCCTCCTCCTCCAGACCAGGAGAGGTGTCAGAATTGTGCTCTAAACCGTGCTCCAAGAGCTGCTCCTGACAAATGGCCCAGGCTGTCACTGGTCTTCATGTGCCAAGTGCTTAATTAATAGATCGATCTCCCCTCACACCAGATCTGGGAGATAACTATTCATCTTTATTTCTCAGCGTTAAGCTTTGGCTAAGGAACCTGACCAGATTCCCACAGCTGAACGTGAGACCCGTGAAAGCTTGGCTCCAAGTCTTTCTCTTGCTATTTTCCCCTGCTGCCTGCTCCCGATGGGCACCTGTCCTGCCATGCTGTGGCATTTCCTGGGGATCTATTGCCTCCCAATTTTCAATCCTCCTCTATCATCTGGGTTCCAGCAGAAAGTGGGTATCCCTACTACGGGCACAATGGAGGAGCCTTTAAGAAGGCACTAGAGGCTGGGGATTTAGCTCAGCGGCATAAGCGCCTGCCTTGCAAGCAGGCAGTTGTGAGTTTGATCCCCGGTACCAATAAAAACGAAAAAGACAAAAAAAAAAATTTTTTTTTTAGGAAGGCACTAGAAGAGAGTCTGCAAAGGGTGGTAGAAGCTTGATGGGACAGGGAGGAGGTGACAGGAAGCTAGAGAGCCACAGCAAGGGGAAAAGTTTCCATTCTCCTCCGGTAAATGGTAAATAAACCAGCAGCCAGAAGGCACTAAGTTTACGTAGTGGACCTCAGAGAAGGGACAGGATAGAAGGCTGGGAGGCTGAGGAACTGATGAAGACCATCCAGAATGCTCTACTGCTGTTGTGCAGGGAGTGTGGGGGCTCCCTGTCCTGGGAGGTGTTTATGGAAATTAATCCTGCTTTTCATTACAGAAATCAATCAAAGCTGAGCACCTGGTGTGGTGGTTGTGGTGCACGTCTATAATCCCAGCTACTCAGGAGGGTGATGTAGAGGATCCCAAGTTCAAGACCAGCCTGGGAAATTTAGGAAGACTGTCTCAAAATGAGAAAGTACAGCAGGGCATGGTGGTGTGCTCTGGGAGGCTATGCCAGGAGGGTCACCAGCTGTAGCTCAGCCTTGGCATCTTAATGACAAGAAAGAAAGAAAAGAAAAGAGAGAAAAAGGAGTGAGAGAAGAGAGGGCGAGAAAGAAACAACAAAAATAAGAAGGGCTGGGAAATCCACCTCCTCCTACCTGCTGGCCACCAAGATGGCTCCTCAATCCAGCCAGACAGAAATTCCCACTGGGCCTCAGAGTGGTAGGGAGTGACACTCAGGGTCAGTTTGGGAATTACTCCTGGCAGAGATCTGGGTTGTGGCAGAGACTCTTGTTGGGGGGACCCATGGGTGGCAGCAGTGGGGCCAGCAGAGCTGTCTTAATCTGACTGCCCTGGCAGTGCTGCCCACTGTTTTCCAAGCCGGGTCTCCAGCTGCCCTGTCAACACCCTGAGCACCCTCAAGTCTTCCAGGGTATCTTCTGGAGCATCAGGTTGCATTTCTCCTGATTCCAGTAGGAACCCTGGCTGGTGTAACCACCCAGGAGCAAGAGAGGAAGCACGTGGTGGTGAGTGGCTCCCTGGCAGGGAAGCAGCAGGCAGGGTCCCAGAGATCTACAGCCCCGGTGGGCAGGCTGGGGACTGGCAGGACCCAGGCAGCCCTGCCCTCCCTCCACACACAGCACAGAGGGCATGGGCTCTGCTGAAATGAGCGCAGGGTGACTGACTCTGGCAGAGGGTGACAGTCACCTGGGTTGCAATGAATGCAAAGCCTGTGTGTGCCCTGCCCTCAGGAGCCCAGGGCTCTGAGGGACGGAGGTGGAAAGTGCCTAGGCAGGGAAATGTGGGAGTCACAGGTGCACCACCGGCTGCAGACACTGGGCAACTCTCAGAGACGCCTCACAGCACCCACAGATTCCAAGGAGAAACCCAGGTCTGAGCTCCCAAATGTTACTCCTCCCCTTCAGCCCCCCTTCTGTCCTCACAGACCTGAGGACAGCTCCTGGGAGGTGACCTGGGGAGACCCTGATTCCACTCCCCATCCCAGGAGAAAGACACATGCACTTTCCTGGGGTGCAGGATGCCCTGATCCCATAGTCTAGTGTTGCGCTGCTTTGCTGGTCCTGGGGATTGAACTCAGGGTCTTTACACTGAGCTATGTCCTGCAGCACCCCCCACCCTTTTTTTTTAAACAAGGGCTTGCTATGTAGTCAGGATGATGGCCTTGAACCCACTATGTAACCCAGGCTGGCCCTAAACTCACAGCAATCCTCTTGCCTCAGCCTCCCAAGTACTGAGATTACAGGTATGTGCCACCACAACCCATTTATTTTGTTTTTATGAAACAGGGTCTCCATATGTAGTTCAGACTTCCTGTGAACTCACTATGTAGCCCAGGCTGGTGTTGAGCTTTTAGTGAGCTGTCTGGCTCAGCCTTTGTTATGTAAACTACCCAGAGTGGGCTCCAGCTCATGATGTTCCCACCTCAGCCTCCCATAGGGCTGAGATCACAGGTGTGCACTGCCACTTCCGGCAGACATAGTTTTGCATGGAGGTGAACATGACGGTCTTTGCTAGGGAGGCACAGGCCAATGTCTCAGGCCATAGGAAGAACAGCAATAGGGCTGTCATTGTCTTGTGCTCCAGGAACCTCATCAGCCTGAGTCTGCCTCTCTCTGGGCCATCTGTGGCGTCACCAGGCACAGCTGGGCCTGGCCCTCAACTAAGACACCTTCTGCCCACCCCACTTCTTCTGCCCTGGACTCCCCTACACAGACCCCACCTGCCCCACTGCACGGCTCAGGTTGCCCAAGACAGGTGGGGTGGGGTCTGGGTATCACTGAGCTCCCCCTGGGTGCCTGGGTGCCGGGGTCAGGAGGGAGACCTGGTTGGGCAGCTGGGGCTGGAGTCCACCCTGGGGGAGGCAGCTTTCATCTGGGCTTTGCAGAACAAAGCTCCCCCACCCCACCCTGCCTGAGTGAGCGCTGGCATCAGCGTGCACATCCATCTCCAGGACGCCGCAGCTGTGACTGGATTATTTATAGCTCCAGTCTTACATTTCTAACACGAAAATATCACACAAAGGGAAAGGTAATGAAATCTCACCGCTCCAGCGCGGCCCTCACTCCACACAAGGAAGCCCTCGTGGCTGAGGTGGGGACAAAAGAGAGAGACCGGTGCCCCTTGGCCCCTCGCTGCAGCCCCCTTCCTAGCCGTCACTCACACGCTCGTCCCCTGGGCCACACGCGCGTCCTCGCGGACACCGTCGCGTGCTCGCTCGCTCACGTGCGGCGCCTCTGATGCAGACTGTTCTGAGCCTCCGCCGTGCGCAGTCCCAGCCCACCCCGCCTGGCCCACGGACAGTCGCACCCCTGCCGGCTCTCTCCCCCGCTCCTGCCTGACTCACTCACTCCCTGCCCTGAGCCTGCTTTTCTGCTTTGTCAATGCAGCCCCTGGCACATTAATTACCAGGCCTGTCCTCAGATGCTGAGGAGCCGGAGGAGGACCATGGCTGCCTGTCAGGGGTGGGGAAGTGTCAGCTTTCATTCATCCCCCTCTGCCTTCAAGCATCCCTGGGCATCGCCTCCCTGGGGACCCATTGTGTGGCACGTGGCAGGGAAGACCCGTATCCCGGGGCTGATATCCCCAGACACAGGAGACACAGGAGACACAGAAGACACAGGCCACGGGGTCCGCCTCTCACCCGCAGGCAGGGGTATCTGAGGGTATGCAGAGCTGAGGTCCCCTGTCCTCTACCTAACTGTCTCACAGTGTCACAGGCTGCGGGGCCTCCAAGCCCCTCTGAGCCCACAAGGAAAGCCAAGACCTCCTAGCCTGGCCCTGGAGCCCAAGCTGTCATCAGAAAGGGGCACCTCCTCCCAGACACAGTGGTGCGTGCTGAGACCTCAGCCCTCGTGGAGCCGGGCGTCGGTGAGTAAGTGAAGAAAGAGTAATACAAGGAAAGAAAAAAATAATAAAAGGGCTGGGCGTGTAGCTCAGTGTGAGGCCGTGGTTTCAATCTGTAGTACTAAAAATATAAAAACAAACTAAAAATAAAAATAAATAAGCATAAAAAGGGCTGGATTGAGCCCTAAGTATTACAACAGGTGGCACTGCCAGGAGTGACATAGATCACAACCTCCTCCTGTCTGGACGGTCAGTGTGTGTGTGTGTGTGTGTGTGTGTGTGTGTGTGTGTGTGTACTTATGCTGGAATGAAGGGAACTCACAGACCAGGACAGCTTCTCTTGACCGTGGTGACATATACCTGTATTCCCAGCATTTCGGAGGCTGAGGCAGGAGGATTGCCACGTGTTGGAGCCCAAGCTGGTTTACACAGAGAATTCAAGGAAAGTCTGGACTCTGTCTCAAAAAACCAAATAAAAGGGTGGGGGTTTAATTAAAATATTAGAAAAATAAATAAAAATAAATAAACAAATTATAAGATAAATAAAGATTTCACCTTGGGGACCAGGATCTGGGGTCAGAATATAAGGAGAAGAATAAGAAAACAGGGATATTTGGGGTTTGCATCTTGGCTCTGCCATTTGCTAGCTGTGTGACCCTGGATGAATCACTTAACCTCTCTGTGCTTCACAATGCTGACCTATAAAATGAGGATGATAATAGCACTTGCTACACCACAGGTGTTTCTGAGGATTCCACACAGGAATACGTGCTTAGAACAGTGCCTGATCCAGCACAGAAATTGGCAATTGTTTTTCTTCAAAAGATTAAAAAAAAAAAAACCACCAAGGTTGACATAAAAAACTTCATTTAGAGTTCCATCCTTCCTTGCTCCCAGAAGGCTCTGTGCACCCATCTCAGGTCTCACTTCCAGCTCCAGGCCTCTCATCAGTCCTGTCTGTGCTACAGTCGACATACATTCGCCTCTGTCTCAGACTGCACTCCTGCTTGATGCTGTTTTGGAGGGGGAGACGAGACACGCTCAGCATGCAGACGGAGTTCAGGACTGAAGACCCACAGAGGTGTAAATACCATTGCTTCCTAAGAGCAGCTCCAGGCTGTGGCTGCGGGAAGCATCCCAGGCGGGTGATGGGGGAGGCAAGTGCCCTGCAGTGCGATGAGAACAAGTGCCCTGGTCTGCGTAGGTGGCTGAAAGAGATAGGACACCCATTTTCCCAGCAGGGCTTGGGGGGCTCAGAAGCAAGGTAGCCAGACCAGCCAGTCTGTCCCCCTGGTGTTCATCAGAAACTCCGGACCAGGCCTGCCTGAGGCCTTTGGCCTGGCAGGCACTGCTCTTCGGTCACCTATGTATCAGGCCTCTCTTCTGATACCATCTCACTGCAGGCCCGTCTGGGACCCCCCATATAAAGTAACAGCATCTCCTCCCACCGGTCGCTCCCCCGGCCCTGGGCCAGCCTCTGATACTGTCAGGAATGTCTGTGTTGTGTGTCTGCCTGCCAGATGGAAGCTCCCAGAAGGCAGGCCCTGTGTTTCACCTCCTGCTCAATCCCCACCCTGGAGTATTACCCAGAAGTCGTAGGTGCTGCATGGAGATCAATAGTAAGACCAATAGACAAGTCGCTCATAGGTGCCTTCAGTGTCCCTTTAGTGAAGCAATGGGCCAAGCTGTTCTCTCATCATGTGGGGAAGCTGGAGGAAAAGGGACATTGTGTCATACTTGGACATGCAATTAGCACTACCAGAGGTTCATGCAAAGCAATTTAGCTGAGACCAAATCCACCCAGGACTCTGCATTCCCTGGTGCTCAGGTGACCAAGCGCACCCCTCCTAGGCCTGCCTTGCAATGGGTCCACTCAGTCCTGGACAGCTTTGGGCACACAGCTGGTTCGTCCCTGGCCTGAGAATGCCCAAGACTGTGCAGTCACTTAGGCTGTTTGCATGATGTCAGGACCGTGGCCATGATAGAGTAGCCTCAGGGAGTTCAGGTACTGACCTCAGAGCCAGGTCACAGGTCCAGAAAAGGGCCAATCAAGGCTGGCACCAGGAGGGAGGTGAGGGTGCCCGGTACTGCGGTCAGGGCAGTGTGAGGCTGCAGTCTTGGAGGGCTGGCAATGCCAGGCATGGAGGAGGCAGCCTGTGAAGGGTCGGGGTCCAGTCGGTGTGCTGGCCCCAGTCCTCCCTCCACCATGGTGCTCCCAGCAGCTCTTGGTGCTGGGCGGCAATGTGGCTTGGCCAGGCACTCTTCCAGCCGAGCCTCAGGAAGAGCTGGAGGCTTGACTAGGGGAGCAGGAGCCAAAATTACTGTCAGGGAGATTTGCCATCAGGCTCAGAATGGTCTCATTCCTGAGTCATGCTCTCCTGTCACCTTATAGCACCTCTTCCTACTCATGAATTCTGTGCAGGGACACTTTCTTATCTTCAGCCAGTGGTAAGTGAAGCCTGAAATGTTCCTGTTCCTTCTCAGGGGACTCCTATTCACTTGTCAAAACCCAAATCATCCAAGCCCAAACAAATACCCTTCCATTATTACCAAGTTGTATGTTTCCGGACCTCCACCCCACAACAGACCTGGACTTTGGCTTATTTATGGCCTCATTCCCAACACTGGTTAAGTGATGAGATGGCTGATCAAATAACCCAACAGATCCAAAGACAGTGGATGCTTGCTGACTCTGAGAGCCAGATCCTATCTCCTCACCCCTCCCCATCACTCAGGTGTCTGCTGGCTGGGGGAGGGGTGGCAGGGACCTGTCATTCCAGGCTCTGATAACCTGCCAGGACCGAATTGGTATCTCCTCCAAGTCACTGTCAGTGCACCTCTGCTGAGGGTGAAGGGTTCGGATCTACACTGGGAAGAGGGGCTGGGGATATGACTTGCATGCACAAGGCCCTGGGTTCGATCTCCAGCACCGCAAAAAATAAGTAACAGAAGAGACTAACAGCCTAACGGCAGCCCCTCCTCCTGTGGCAAGGACACCTGGCTCCATTTTGGTGCAGGTTCTTTAGATCTTCCTCAGCCAAGCTCCCCAAGGGAGGGCTCCAATGCTTTGGAACCCCCAGTCTGCATTCCAGAAAGGTCAAGGATCCCCTTCTCTTTTGGGGACCCTAGGAAGAGAATGTCACTGCTCCTATTCAGCCACTGCCTTGTGGCTCTGAGGTCTTGAGGGCTAAGTGGTGCAGTGTGTGGCTCCTTGGCCTTGGGACCCTCACTCCCCAAACTCAGGGAACAGAGCTTGATAAACCACCCATTGACCCATCTGCAGGGCTCCTGCTGTGGCTCAGGGCTTGGAACAACATTCACATTGCCTGCAGCTTCCCTGACTCCCATCACTTAATCCTCCTGTGGCCTTTTTCCCATAAAAGATGACAGCCTCCCAGAGCATCACAGCTACCAGCAGTGGCTGCTTCCACGGTTCCCAGTACACTGCAGTCACACCCCTTTTCGGTGACTGGAGGGAACGTTTAGGCTCAGAGGGACTTGCTCAAGGTCATTAGAACACCCCAAAGCCAGAATTGACTCTCCAAACACCTCATCCGGTGCTGAACATCCCTGTCTTTCCTGGGAGCTCTTGCTTAACTAACTCAGAGCAATGGGGACAAAGCTAAGCAAGATAGGGGCGGCACGAACCTTAAACTCTGCTCTTCCCCTCCTTCTCTCCCTGCCTCCCTCCTTCCCTCTGAAGCCTTTCTTTACCTTGAACAGCTGTCAATCAGCAACTACTTGCTGAGCTTCACACCCCCACACGGCTCCCCAAGAACCTGCGGTTCCCATCCAGAGGTCCTGCCCATCTAAAAGGACCCAGGCCAGCTGGCCTAGCCCCACTGCCCAAGACTGCAAGGGGACAGCGACAGAGAAGACTGGGCAGGGGAGGTATCAAGATAGGACCCTGAGGTTCAGACTGTTTGGAGATTAAGAGGATGGGCCCTCCGCAGAAAGTACTGGGCTCAAGTTCCAGCTCCAGGGCTGGGGGTGTAACCCAGTGCATGGAGAGGTGGCTGGGGAGAAAAACAGGAGGAAAGAAGAGACTCCAGAGCCGCTTCCTCTTGTCTGGGAGCCAAAGTCCTTTAACTGACCCGTGCCTCAGTTCCTTCCCTGCAAAGGGCGAATACTAGGTTGCTGTGCAGGTGAAATGACATCAGCCCATGCCCAGGCCAAGCTCACTGCAGGCCTGCCAGATACTGAGCACTCCTGAGAGCAGGACTGGGCTGGAAGAGAGAGGTCCCCCAACCCAGCCCTGCTGCAAGGAGGCCATGCCAGCCTCCGAGGGCCCTTGGGCTCCAGGCTGGCATGAGGGACCGCAGAGCTCGAGGAGCTCCCAGCCTGGGGCTCTGCTCAGGCTTGGAGTCCTGCTGAAGACCAGCCAGCACAGGGAGAGCGCTCTGTGCCCGCCAGTTCCCTCCTCTTCTCTGAGATGTGATGCTTCCTTCTGAAAACATCCAAATTGTGGGCTTTGGTTTATTTTTCACTTGTGTGCAGGAGAGGGAGTTCTGAGGACTGAACTCAGGGCCTTCACACCAAGCTTCCTCCTAATCCTTTTTCAATCTTTTGTTTGAGACAGGTTCTCATTAAGTCACTAAGTTGCCCAGGCTGGGCATGAACTTATGATCCTCCTGCCTCAGCCTTCCAGAGTGCTAGAATAAGTGGGCGCCATTAGACTTGACTCAGGCTTTTGTTTATGATCAAGAGGTACAGATGCCCCAGATTTGATAGTGCACTCCTGTAACCCAAATTCCAGGTCAGTCACTTAAGGAAAACTTTGTTTCAAGATGAAATAAAAAGGGTTGAGGGATGAGCTCAGCACTAGAATGCTTGTCTAGTGTGTGTGAGGCCCTGGCCCTTAACCCCAGTGAAGTAGAAAAAAGGGAAACGGATACTTATTATGCATCGTGATAGACCCTCCACAGATCTCCACTCCCTTGGAGGGGTGCAAGAAGACCAGCTGGACAGGGCTGGGATGGACCATAAGCAATGGGGACAGTGGGTATGGGGCATCCTGACCAGATGGGAATAGGGAGCACTCCAGGGAAGTCAGGGATCCTGGAAGAAAAGGCAAGAGCCAGGCCCAGGGAGCTCCATCCGTGCTGGGGAAGTTGCCCTCCTCTCCCTGCGCTCCCCCAACCTGTCTCCTCCTTTAGGCACTCTGTGATCATGCCACGAAGCCCGTACTTCCTGCTTGTTTCTAGTCTCCTGCCCCCTTCCACATCCCCTACCTTGCCCTCTCCTCCAGAGACGTGGTTTTATTTTTAACCAGAGTTTATAAGCAGGATCTGGAAAAGCTAGTTTGCAGAGGAGGCTCCTTCCTGCCTGGCTCCTTCCCCATGGTAGAGGGTGAGTAGACTGGCCAGTCTGTGGCCAGGCAAGGGGACCTGCAAGACAGCTGTGGGTAAAGGGCAGCTGGCCTGGGGACCTACACACCCAGCTGTCATTGGCCAGCTGGAGGACTGGAAGGGGTCCCAGGCTGGCCCTGGCAGATCCAGTGGAGAAGAGAGCTCAGCTATGGTACGGTTGGCACAGTAGAACCTTCTGGGCTTTTCTGCTGTCCCCTCCCCTCAGAGGCTGATTGGTCCAGGGCTTTCCTCTCCCCTGGGAAGTCTCAGGGCAGAGTGGCCCAATGCCCTGATAGTGCAGGCCAGGCTTCTGTGCTCTCTGGCAGGGGCAGGCGAGGCCGGGTTACCCAACAGGCAGATTATGCACGGCCTTAGGGCATTGGCAGGAAAAGGGCACTAACCAAGTGTTTTGGTTTTACTTTTTTAAGGGCTAATACTTGGTTCTTCAAAAACAGCAAGGAAGTAGTCACTCTGAGAAAAATTGGAACTTTATTGGACTTCCTCACATTTATTTTAAGGTTCAGGAGTTTTCTGATATGAGTTTGTGTGTGGGGGAGGGAGAGTGCTGAAGGGTTTAATCCAGCTCGGGGTAAGACAAGGATCAGGAAGTGGGTGGGGACAAGGGTGTTGAGGAGGGAGCTCACAAGGTGGCTTCAGTGCACAGCTCTGTGCCCAGAGGACTGGGACTTTTGGAGAGAGGGGGTGCAACAGCGGGGAGCTGGCCTCGCCCTGCTGCAGGGTGGGTGTGCTGTATGAAGAGGAGGTCCCCCAACCCAGCCCTGCTGCAAGGAGGCCATGCCAGCCCCCGAGGGCCCTTGGGCTGCAGGCTGGCATGAGGGATGGCAGAGCTGTGGAGTTACTGTGGAGAGTTACTGTGGGGAGAACAAGGTCCAGCAGCCTGAAATCCCCACCGCTGAGTTTGGTCACTGTGGAAATGGCACAGTGGACAAAGACAGTGGTCACTTTGTAGAGAGAAGTGGCAGCTCATTTCCTGGAACTTGGTTCCAACAATGGTGATGGACCCCCTGCGTCCCCTGAAGGGCAGGGCAGGGCAGGGCAAGGCAGGGCAGGGCAGGGACTCCAAGTCTTCTCCCACAGTCTTGACACTGGCATGTGTTTCTCACTACCCCTCTGCCTTCAGCAGCAAGCATGCTCCGCGGCCACCCTGCTCTGGTGCTCTCATGCAGTACCTCCCCGCCAGGCATGGGCTGTGCTGGAGGCAGACAACTGCTGACAGGACAGGCCAGCCAGCAGCAGCCCCAGGATGCACAGCTGTCTGACTGCCGTGTTCTCAGATCCATTGTCATCCAGCTCTAGGCCCCCGGCAGGGACAAAGCCACCAGCCTTCCCCCTTCTTGGTCCTCTGGCCTGGCTGTGCACCACTCTCCCTCTACCTGGACAGGTGTAAGTATGGAGCCCCTGACATTTTCATCATGGGTGGGGAGAGAGACAAGCACCCTGGGCCTTAGAACTAGCAACACAATTTGGGGGATCCAAGGCAGAATGAAAAGTGCAGGACCTTTTGTTTTAAATTGTTATGAATTGCAAGATGGTGGCAGTAGAGCATCAAACCTTCCCTTTTGAATGTGAACCGCAGTGTGACCACAGAGGTACACACCCATGAAGCCAGACCTGCCTGGAACCTACAGTACCCCCAAAACAAACACTTACGTTGCCTGGGAAATCACACAGCCCAGACACAAGTTAAGTTCCTTCAGTGAAATGTAAAATAAACTATGATTAAAATATATGGATGAGCTGGACGTGGTGGTGCAGGCTTATAATCCCAGCACTCAGGAGGCTGAGGCAGGAAGATCATTGCGAGTTCGAGACCAGTCTGGGCTACGAAGTGAGCTCAAGGGAAGTGTGAACTACATAATGAGACCCTGTCTCAAAAATACAATATATATATATATGTAGATAGATATAGATATAGATAGATGAAAGTTTAAATTTTTAAAATATATTACAGGGGCCAGGCATATAGTTCAGTGGCGTAAGTGCCTGCCTGACAGGCAAAAAGTCCTGAGTTCAATCCCCGGTATTTGGCATATTCAAATACTACAGAGGAAAAAGACACGTTGCCATTAATCTCCATCAAAATACTTGCCTTGACTTCAAACACACATATTGCATCATTGCTGCCACTTTCTGAAGCAGTTCTGGAGTCTTCTTTCATGAGCCTCTTTATGAGGTGTGATCAAAGATACTGTGAATGCTGCTGCCAGGTCCCCTCGAATGGAAAGGCAGACCCTATAAACATTCCAGCGTGTCCTCACCCACCTTAATCACCAGATCTGGCACCAGGCAATGCCTGGCTCTTCCCCAAAGGCAAAGTAGCCATGGAGAGATAAGCGTTTTGAGTGGATTCCAGACCCTGAGGAGCCGTGACAGTGTTACAGGCCCTCCAGGAAAAAGGCTTCCAGCACTGCTTTAGGAACTGGCAAGAACAACAAGAATTTGGAGCTGGGGTTGTAGCTCAGTGTTAGAGTGCTTGCCTAGCATGCACAAGGCCCTGAGTTCAATCCCCAATACCACCAAAAAAAAAAAAAAGAGAATGATGGGACATCCTTCAAGAGGAAGGGTAGTACTACCAGAGTAGTTAGTAGTAGCAATGTGTCTTTTGTTTTAATAAACTTAAAAAGTTTGAGCATCCACTACATTTTTCAATCATACCATGTATGTTGATACCTACTTACAGAGCTGTGTCTGTGTATGTAAAGTACTTAGAACAGTGCTCGGCACGCAGTGGACACTGTAAATGATGGCTATTGATGTTATATGACTATTAATAACATCTATGACTTTCCAGTGTCCTCTACCACCTCTCCTGGATGTCCCCTCCGTTCCTGAGGCTGTCATGCCATGACTCACACTTCTCCTTCCTGACCTGCCCTTTCCCTGGAACCCGCCATGTCTCTCTCTACTCACATCATGGGAGAAGCTCTTTCCTGCACCCCTGCTGTCTGGCCCAGCGAGCCAGGACACTAGGACAAGCTGGGTGTTCCTCTGCCCTGCACCTCACCCTGCGTCCCCTCATGCCCAGCCTCCTGGCTTTGGCTTCCTCCACTCTGCAGGTGTGTCTCTAGCTATGGGCTCCAGGGATGCCTTCCTGGCCTTCTCTTTGTCCATCTCAGTCTTGCACCTGGATCAGGACCCCAGTCTGCAGGTCTCCGTGGGCAGCACTGGGACACTTCCTAGGACGCTTCCTCTGGGGACTATGCACCCCTCCCTCCCACTCCCCCTCGCAGAAGGCCAGGACAGTGCTGCCAGCACCCTACCTTGCCTTCTCAACCTGCCCCCTCTTGTTGGAACAATACGATGCATCTTTCATCTCTGCCCCAGCCCAGACCCCACATGGCTGCAAGGTATCTTCTTAAATGGCAAATCAGGATGTGGCCCTGCCAGCTCACGGCGTCCTTCTTCATAACTAACTCCAAGCTCCTCACACAGCTCGGAAGGTCTCTGTTGTAGCCCTCACTAGGTCTGATGCCCACGGCCCAGCTAAACGGAGCCAGCTTTCCGCCCTTTCTGCAGAAACTCACTCTGGCCTCTTCTCTCTCCTTCCTCGGCAGCCCCAGCTGTGTGCCCAGCTCAGTGCTCGTCTGTGGTCAAAGCATCTCTCTCCAGGGCTATCACTGTCTTTCTGATTGACCGTGGTGTCGGGGATGGCTCAGCCAAGCAAGAGGGAGGTAAGAGACAACATTATCACTTGCTGGGTTGTGCCTATAATAAACATGTGTTGTCTATCTGATTCTCCCAACAGCCCTGTAAAGGGGATTTCTGTTTTCCAGGGGAAACATTGAGGTCCAGACAAATCAAGTAGCTTGTCCCAAATTAATAACAGGATCCAGGTGTGGTGACATATGTCTGTCTATAATCCTACTACTCAGGAGGCTGAGTCAGGAGGATCATTGTGAGTTCTAGGCCAGCCTAGGCTACACAGTGAGTTCAAGGTCAGCCTGAATGACATAGTGAAATCCTGTGTCAAAGCAAAATAAAACACAAAACCAAAGTTAACAACAGAACCAGGATTTGAACCCAAACACTGATCAATAGACATTGATTGGATTGGATGAATACAAGTTTTCAAGCAGGCGTCAGCCCTTCCTGACACTGGAAGAGGAACAGGTGAAGGGAAGGGAAGAGGAGGAGCACTGAGGCAGACACAGCTGGCGCTGGTGGGGACAGTGGCCTGCCCACCCACTGCTCTGGACACAGCAACCTGTCATCCTGAAGGAAGGGGAGCCCTGCTCCAAGCTCTCACCTCAGGGTGAAGCCCTCGAAGAGCCCCCAGCAGCAGATGGGGCCGGAGTTGGAGGGATTAGAAAGCTACAGGCTCTGGCTCAGCAGCTCCCAGGCAGGAGGGCTTGGCCTGGACCTTGCAGAGCTAAGACAAAGGCAAGGCAGTGGTGGTCAGAGAAGCCCTCCCTGCCCCCAGGGCGCTGGCGGGAGGTCAATGGCCGGCAGACACCTGCTGACCTCCGTGGGGAGGGCAAGGCCAAGGTCAGATAGGAGTTACAGGCCAGAGGCTGAGGAGGACCGCAGGTGCTGGCTTCCTGATCTCCCTGGATTCCTGCCTCTCTCTAGGCCTCAGGCCCAGACTCACCCAGGTGACCTTGAGGCCCCCTGCAGGGGCAGGACCAGCTAGGAACCTGACAGGCTGCTTCCTGGCAAATAGCCTAGCCAGGTAGTTTAATCCCTGGTGAGGCAGAGGTTCATGGCAGCTCCCCCTTTGTGGTCCCTAGCACCCTCCTTTCTATCCCACCTTGAGAAGCTCTCGGCTGTATTCCTCTCCCATCCCACATTTCCCCTGCTTCCAGAAAGCCCCTCCAGACCGGCATGTCAGCAACTCCGCAGGTTAGAGGGATCAGTTGCTACTAGCTCTGATCCAAGACCAACAGAGCCTGCGGGGCTGGTCAGGCTCCAGACAGGCAGGGGCTAAGGAAGGATAGGGGAGGTGGTCACATGACCGCCTGGGCTGAGACCCAGGGACACAGAGTTGATTCCTCAGTGTCCACGTGCTCCTGCATTCCAGAGGCGGCTCTCCCAGGGCGCTGGCCATAGGCCTGGTCAGCCACCCAAACCTGTTCTCTGATGTATGGACCTCCTGGGGCTGTAGCCATTCCAGAGCCTGGGCCTGTGACCTCAGGCTGCAGTGGGGGCCATGACTCCTCCTCCCAACTAAATACCAAGCCCAGGAAGAGTTGGTGCTGGTGGGGCAGCTGAGTGGAGCCAGGGGAGGGTATAAGGGCCCTTTGGTCTGTGATCGTAAGAGGGATAGGCCAGGCAGGGATATCGTTTACCACGCTGAGTCTCCACTGCCTCAGCTGTAAAGTGGGACTAATACAGGAACTTCGATGAGCATTTTCCTGTCAAAGGGGAAATAACAGTCACAATCAGCCTCAATGATTTGTGGGAATAATGGAGAAACCTTATATGACAATGCTTAGCCCATTGCTGGGTGTGAGGGTTACAGCCATCCACTTCTGGTGTCTCCATAGGCTGTTCCCTTCTGCTGTGAGTCTGCCTTGTTCCACAGAGCACTTATGGAGGGTGGGAGAGGGAAACGTGGCTGTTGGTGGTCCCACAGGGATACCTGACCTCCATGGCCACTGTGCCCGGAGGTCTCCCCATTCGTCCCAGAGAACTCGGAGCCACACAGTGGGTAGCGCAGGGAGCTGACTCACACAAGAGTGTAGGCGAGCTGGAGATGAGCCAAGAACACACACGCAAAGCAGCCTTTGCCTAACGGTGTGTGAAGAACAGAGCTAACCCTTGGGCACTGAGGTAGGGGACATCTGGCCAACCTTCAAGTCAGCACACCGGACCCAGAGTCCAAGAACGGGGCTCTCCCTGACCAAGACCAGGTCCTGGCTTGTCCTGGGATCTAACTGCAGGGCATCTGTGCTGTACTTCTAAGCTAGTTCTTCTCTTCCTCTTGCTCCTCTTCTTTTTCTGGTGTGTGTGTAGGAGCGGTACTGAGGGTTGAACCCAGAACTTTCACACTGAGCCACGCCCCCTGCCCGTTTGTTTTTGTTGTTAATTTTGAGACAAAGTCTCCCTACGTTGCTACGTTGCCCAGGCTGATTTAGAACTTAGCCTTAGCCTCCAAGAGTATAGATGTAAGCTTCTTTCTGCATCTAATGCTGCTGAAAGTATTTGCTTGGGATATAGCTCAGCAGCATAGTGCCTGCCTGGCAAGCACAAGGTTGTGAGTTCAATCCCCAGTACCAAAAAACCCAAAGTATTTGCAAAATAACTGCACTTTGCTTCCATTGAAGAAGGAGCGATGCAGATTTGGAACTGGAAGGAAACCAACTTACTTTCCACTGAGTATCTTTGATTTTTTTTTCTTTTACCATGTATATGTAATACCTTTTAAAAATTTAAAATTCTTCTGGGATGGAGAGATGGTAGAAGGGTTTGCTCCCCATGCCAAGGAATCTGAACTGTATTGTACCGGCAACAAAGAGCCAAGGAAGGGAGGTTTCTAAGCAACGGTGTGACATCCTCAGGTGCGAAAGGAATGACTGTTGCCATGGCCGGAAGTAGGTAGAGATCAGGGCCAACAGGAGGCTGGAGGGGAGGTTGGGACACTTCTCTATAACCTAGCCCAGTGATGGCGAACCTTCCAGAGCTTTCACTGATAATCAACAGCCCGCTGCAGAATGTGTGCCATAGGTTTGCCACCACTGGCCTAGCCTAAACTAGGTTCCCATGGTTACAGCTGTTGTGGACAGTTAAACTTTCCTAGATTCAGTCAAACAATGAACACACCGATCGTCCTACCCTGCACACCTACAAAGACCAAAGTGGCAGGACAACCAAGCAAAGCACAAGAGTTAATCACCCAGTTTTTGCCTAGAACAAGCAAGACAGTAGGGCTGGCTGGTGGGACTGATGTTTCCCATAGAACAACACACATCAGAAATCAGAACCATTATCTGCATCCTGCTCACTTTTCCGTTTTCATAAAGCTAACAGCAAGTGGGATCATTCTTCAAGTCTGGCAGGAGGCAGAACCTTCAGAAGAGTCCTCCACCAGAATTCCTCACTGGATGATATCATGGTACCACTGGGTACCCCCAGAAAACTGAGCCTAGAAAATGGCTCCCAGAATTCCTGATGGGCCACCTGTAGTAGCCTCACTCATATGCATAATGAGGCTCACACTGAGACCCAAGTAGACCCAGAGAGTGCTCACTCACAGAGGGACTCACGCTGGGAGCCTCAGGTTCCTGGGGGCGGGGGGGCCTTAGCAGTCAGAGGCCTGCATGGAACAGCCTTGGAGTCTGGGATGAGTCCAGGCTTCAGGCTGACCTGCGCTTGTCTTGCAATGCAATAAATGGTCTGGGTATTTACTTATCTCTCTCTCTCTCTTTGAGACATGGTCTTATTGTGTGGCACAGGCTGGCCTCAAACCAGTGACAATCCTCTTGCTTCAGCCTCCTGAGTACTGGGATTACAGCATGGGATTACCACATTCGGTTTAAGGATTTCATCTCTCTGAGCTCACGTGGCATAGAGGTGAATTCTACTATCACAGAGGGCACTGAATGAAATGAGTTTACCGTTGTGCCAAGTGTTGCACGCTGTGCCAGGTAGCTGTACACTACACTAGTCACACTTTAGGCTGGCCTGTGAGGAAGACAGGGCGACCCGTTTTCTATCACACCTGGTTGTTTTATTTCTCTGAGACAAGATTTCACTATGTAGTTCAGGCTGGATTCAAACTTGTAACAATCGTGCTGCCTCAGTTTCACAAGTGCTACAACTACAGGCATGTACCACCAGCCTGGCTAGTGTTGTGTTGTGGTGTTTTGGGGAGGGGAGGGTTTTTTGTTTGGTTAGTTGGTTTTTGTTCATGTTGTTTTGAGACAGGGTCTCACTAAGTAGTTCAGGCTGGCCTTAAATTTGCAATGGTCCTCCTGCCTCAGCCTCCCAAGTGCTGGAATTACAAGTATGTACCACCATCCCTAGGTTTTTTGTTTTTGTTTTTGAGACAGTTTTGCTATGTACCCCAAGCTGGCTTCAAACTCATGATTTTCCTTCAGCCTCTCTCATAACTTTTATAGTACTAAGGTTTTCTTTCTTTTTTTTTAATCGGTACCTACCAGGGATTGAACTCATAGCTGCCTGCTTGCAAGGCAGGCACTTATGCCACCGAGCTAAATCCTCAGCCCCTTAGTGCTAAGGTTTTCTAAGATGCCTCTAACCTCAGGTTTAGAAAACATTTCTGTAGGGGCTGGGGATTTAGCTCAGCGGCATAAGCGCCTGCCTTGCAAGCGGGCAGTTGTGAGTTCGATCCCTGGTACCGATAAAAAGGAAAAAGACAAAAAAAAAAAAGAAGAAGAAGAAGAAAAAAAAGAAAACATTTCTGTAGATCACAGTAAGGGTTAGTTCCAGTGCCTGGCACAGTGGTGCACGCATGTAATTCTAGAACTGCTGAGGCAAAAACATCACCAGTTTTTGCTCAGTTTGGGTAACAGTGAAACCCTGGCTCCCAAAAGAGAGCAAGGATATAGCTCAGTGTGCGAAGATCCAGGGTTCAATCCCCAGTACTGCAGGGGAAGTATTTCCAGGTCCAACTTTCTTTACTCACGGAAGTTTATAAGGAAACAAAAGTGGAGCGGGCGTGGTGGCGGATGCCTGTAATTCCAACACTTGGGAGGCTGAGACCAGAGGAGCACTGCAAGTTCAAGTCCAGTCAGGACAACACAGCAAGACTCTATCTCAAAAACAAAAACAAAATGCACCCCTCATAAAGAAAAAGAGAATAAAACCAAAGTGAATTTCTGTACTTGTCACATCGGTCAGCCCAGGGTGGATGCATGTGAAAATGCACCTTGCACGCTAACACTCAGGAGTGATGAAACGGCTGTCCTCACTGCTGGGCAATCCCAGTGCTGCCTTGTGAGGTCAAGGACAAGAAATGACCTCCATTATCCTGCTCTTTTAGAGCTGTTGAATTTAGGCTTCACTGCCTCTCACAATGTCCACTTAAAGAAACATCCACCATGAGCTAAGAACATAAGCGAAGCCTCTATAAATAGGTGAAGTATGATTTTAAAATGTTGGCCACTTTGACTCTGAGCAGAGAGGGGGTGAAACAGGCAGGAAATGAGGGCAGGGAGACCCCAGGTGACACAGAGACCAATGGAACCCAGACTCACCCAGAGACTGCTGGGTCTGCATCTCTGAAAGCCACAGAATCCTCACATTTCAGAGAGAAAATGCTTCTCAGATATCCAGCATGGTATGTTTCAGGGAAACGGGAATCCCGGTGAAGATCAAATCAAGACTGGTTAAGGCAACCAGGCCAGCAGCTGAATGAGTTCAGGAAGAAAAAATCACGTGTCTCCAAAAAAAAAAGGAAGAGCCACCATTTAACAAATGGCCCCTGGCCATAGTAAACTTTAATTAACTGCACATTTATAATTCACTTCCAGCCTAAGTGTTCCACCCTACCACTCTCAGCCTCCTGTCCCTTATTCCACCTCTCCAGGTCTCATCAAGTCAGGCTGCCTCCCTCAGTGAAACCCAACTGGCCTCCTTTGTTGGATGCCTGTTATTACAGCTACTGCTTCTCCTGCTAATAATAGCACCTGGCAACAAGAAAGGGGAGAAAACTATACCATTCTCAGCTTTTAATGACAGGCCCTTTCGCCTACCTATGTGCACTAGTAATCAAGGGTCTTGTAAGCCTACAAGTTCCTCAAAATAATACCAAAGCAATAAAGAGAGTTGTAGGCAGGCAGGAGCCCACAAGGAGGCAGATAACAGGGCAGGATGTGCACTGAAGCCACCAGACACTACTCAGAGGATCTACACCCAGACAGGTAATCCACCCTTCTAAGCTCATGCGCGCCTCTTCCTTCATCGGTGGTTAAATTACACCCAAGACACACTGCGTATGCTCAGGCTGTGAAGCCTACCCATTTCAGGTGTGTGCATGGAGAGTGGGGTTGGGAGCACCTTAAAGGATCTTCCAGGCAAACGTGCTCGGTTTTTATTAATGAGCATATGAGGAAAGCCAAGCCAGACCTTTAAGTGAAACGCATAACTGATAGTAGCCAGGCAAGGACGGGTTTTAGAATTAACTCTTCCTACGGTCTGCATTATCACCCCCCAGTTAATTACCCCTGAGGATGAAAATAGGCTTCATGACTCATAAGCACCAATACAACATTTGGCAGCAGATGAAAACGCAAGGACACATTTGCAGAAAGCTGACACGAATGTCTATTTATATGTGGGGAGATTCTTAAAGAGGTGAGACAGGCACCTTCCTGTGTATCAGGATTAAGAGGCCACAGAAGATTCATCAATACTGCCATGTGTCCATACCCCAAAACATGTGTGCATGTGCACACACACACACACACCTTGGTTTTGTACCACTTCAATAATGGTGGTGGCAAAAGCAGGAACAGAAACTAAAAGGGTGTTATTAACAGCAAGTCCCAACACCAACCCAACCTCTACACTGGTGTTGTGGGTTAACTGGTGATTGTTTTCAAACGTGCCTGCGCCCATACCCTTTCCCCTGCCTCGGAGAGGGGTGGGAGCGCCAACTTTTTCTATCTATTCCTCCAGCCTTGGCCCAGCAGTCCAAACCTGGCTGGCCCCGCCCAAGCATGGGGTGTGGCCAGGAATGAATTTCAGATCGGATCACTGAGTTTTGTTTTGCTTCCTCCCTTCTGTTTTCTGCTCTTCTTGTATTTGCCTCCAGTAAAGTACAAGGTTCAAACCAGGTTTGTTTGCCTCCCCCTAGCTCCGGGAGGGTTCAGGTCTGATCTCAAATCTCAGCTCTAGAAGGCATTACAATTCTCTTGTCCCCTTCCCCACCCTTAAGCACTTTACAAATGCAGCCAAAAAAAAAAAAAAAACCACCCGATTGAATAGTTGCATTTCCTAACCAGTAAGAATGATTTATTTGATGCTTTGTAACTCTGGCTTTAAAAGCTGGCTTTGGGTTCCCCCAATGCTTTTCCATCCCCCGCAAAGCTGATCAGCTATGTGTCCTGTCTTTAGAAATACTTAGAAGGGGAAGTAGGGAATGAAGTCAATGTGGTGACAACTGCTTTTCCAACACATCAGCTGGAAGCTAGTGAGATCCTCCTGGCTGAGTACAAACATTTACTTCCCAGTTGCCCACAACCCTTCTTTTCCCTCTGACAGCTCCCTGCTCTGTGGCATTCTTGTTCTAAATGTGCACTAACAGTTAATTCCGCCATATCTAGGAAGCAAAGCACCCTAGCTTTTTCCTAGGATCTCCCCCCTCCACTTGTCAAATCACAGCTGCACTAGCATCAGTATACACTCGTGGCCACAGGGCGAGACACCAAAAAGCATTCCAGACAGTGCCATTTGCAGCTGGGCCCCATATCCGGGGGAAAATAGAGATGCTGAAGAGTAAACAGAAATCGCTTAGTCAGCAACTGTCGCCTCCCAAGAGGTGAATGTAAATAGCCTGGTATGAGGGGGAGGGGCCGCCAGGCAGCCCGGGGCCTTCCTCACTTGCCAGCTCTGAGGGCTTACAAAGGGACAAGTGCTCCGGTCCTAGGTTGGAGTGGAGATGTCCCCTACATTGGATTCCTGTGCCCTTTGCCCTAGAAAGACAAACTTGCTGACTCCCAGCAGAATTAATATCAATTGAATTTATTACAAGTTACTAAGCTCCAAGGCACATTACAGTGTTCTGTTAACTACAGAAATGTATAAAGGACAAACAGAGCAGATTCTCCATGTCTAGCATTTCGCTCTACGGTTCAAAGGTTCAAAAGCATCCGTGCATCAATAAAGCCAAAAGGAAACAACACATGAAGATCCAACACATTCAGGTCAGTAGAAACAAACCAAACATCTTCCCCTCACAAACTTGCAACAAAAAACATCCCATCCCCCCCGAACACCCCCCTTGCCATTTTTGCAAACAAAACAAGAAAACAAAACAAAACAGAAAATAAAGTGAAGACTTCAACACTTGGGGCTGTTTAGAAAGACGCTTTCACCATTTTATAGCATCATCATCATTATTTTTTTTTTTTTTTAGGCAGCAACACTGGCCTTGGCAAAAAAAAGTCTTTTTCTTTTGTGTGTGTTTTTCCTTTCAGAGTGCATAACATTTACAAAAATACACACCAGCAGCAGTCGTTGCTAAGGGCTATTAATTTTGTACCTAGGCAAACATTCTGCCACCAAATAAATGCTAACGAATATGATGCGAATGACCCAACCAATATTATACTGCTTAACACAAACCAGCTTATCCTTCAAATGAAGAAGTTACATACCTTTGTTTCAAAATATAGAAACATACGACGAAAATAATGTCTATACGTAAGACTAACTTTTTGCAGTTATATTCACAATTCTACATCTTGGGGGTGAGGGAAGGGAAGGTGGGGGAGGGGCCCTCTGGATTGGAGAGGAGCTGGTCTAGGGCAAAGGAGGTGGCTGCCCTGTGGTTCAAGGGTCTCTCTCCTTTTTCACTTTAACATCCCCAGCTAAGATAGTCGCGATTTCGCCCTGCATGAAGGCCCAAGGTACATTCGACCCAACTAAGGGACATTTCTCTCCGCTGGGGCAATACACCTCACCCGTTGCCCCTTGGGCCTTGATACTCTCTCTAGAGCAAGGAAAGCAGAATTTATGGCTGGGGACGGATGGGCACTGAACAAAATGTGTGTCTTCCAAACGTTCGTGGCAAATGGTACAGCAGAGGGGTCCGCTGTTGGCCATGGGGGAATCCGGAATGTTTTGGGGGTGCACTTGGTCCATGCCCGGGTGGGCACTAGGCGGCGGGGGCGCCACCTGTAAATTCAGGTCCCCATTACGTGATGCCAAGCGGCGCTGCCCCGGCACGGAGGCGGGCGACACCGGGCTGCTGCTGTTACGCCGTGCGGACGCAGTGGTAGAGTGCACGGAACTGCCGTCCTTGGGCGAGTGCGCCGTGCCCAGTGTGTCTGCCACCGACATGAGGGCAGCCATAGGGGACGGACCGTTCTGGGGGGCGGACTCTGGAGGGGTGGTCCGGTTAGAATGGGGTCCCAGGGGTGGGGGCGGTGGAGGCGGACCCCCACCTGCATGCCCCGGCGCCGCAAAGCCCCCCGTGGACATGGTGAGCTTCAGTGCCTCGCTCTGGTTTGCCATCCACTGCTGCCTCTGCTGTTCCTCGCCCAGTTTCAGAGCACTCTCGGCTGA